TAAAACAATTTTGAAAATTAAATGGTCAATATAAAAAAAAGGAAAATTTAAGTAAAGTTGATCAAATATGAAATATTACTTTTTGTTAAATTACAAATATATTATAGTTTTAACTTTCGATTTTGCTTAAACGCAGCATCTACTAGAAATACTTGAAAATACGCAAATTAATAAATTAATAATTAAAATTTTAAATAAATAAATAAGTAATCCATTTTTACATTATGTAATATATTTCTGGTCTTGCATTATCTAATCTTTAAATTTGACAATTTGTATTGTAAATTATTCAGATATGTTTTTAAATAAAAGTAACAAATGAGTTTTGTTTGGGTTGTGGGTTAAATCAATTTTGGAAAATAAAAGGTAAAAGTACAATGCCAAAAAATATATGTTTTAAATTTTTTTTGTATGGATAGAATTTTTTTAAAAATGTAGTACTAAACGTATAAGTTGATAATAAGCTAATATCTCAGTAATAAATTTTATATTATTTAATGTTTCTGGTTTGGAAGTTTCTAATCTTTAAAGTGTCATTTGTCGACAAAAGAGTTTAATTTATGTTATGGTTTAAAGTGGTTATTTATTGCAGTAAAACTTAAATGTCAAACTTCAATATTGCTAAAAAAAATTCAAAATTTAATCAAATCAAATTTGCCATAAATTATGACTATTTCCAATTCGTCTTGAGGAACTGTTATTTACATTATTATCGTTGTAACTAGTGTTGAATTTTTGTCGGTTTTTTAAAATATTTCTGATAGTTTAACAGAGATAATTTAAATCCCTCTGATCAGTTTTGACAGTTAAGATTTGACACATCGGTTTTGTCAATATAGAATTTTTTGGCGATAATCTCAAAAATAAATAATTTAATGTTTATTCCTAAGTTGACTATTATATTTTAACTCTTTCTGTTAATTTATAACGTTATCGATGAAACTAGGAAATTTAAATTGTAATGCATATTAAAATCGTTCCCAGTTCCCCGCCCCCTCCCCGGCCAGATATAAATATACATCAATATGCAGAACACACAAGGTTTCTAAAGTAACGGCAGGCGCGCCTCCAAATTTAAATGACAAATTCCCCCTATTCCTGAAATCGGTGTAAATTATTGATAGGAGACTGGACGGTTCACCAGCTGTTTGCTTAAATATAGTCCCCGACAGGTTTATTCGTATTCCTAGGTCTTTTGCCAGAAAAATGCAACGAAAGCCCATAAATAATAACTAAATAATAAAATCCGGCCCTGATAATTGTACGATGAACGTTGGCATACTGGTACGATCTCTTGGCTGTTTAAATTGTTATTTATAGGTTTGGCAGGTGAATTATTTTTGTATCAGTCTTGAGAGAGAACTAACTATTAACTGCAAACTATTTCTACAATTGCAAGTTTGGTCATTACAAACTGTTTTTATTGATATGCCAAATTGAAACACAAATTCACGTAACCCCTAGAGTCAAGTTTAAAAAATTAAATATAATAATTAATCTTAAAGGTTGAAAAAGATTTTTTCATAAAACGATAAACTAGACTAGCAGCTACTTACAAATATGGGTGTAATAAATATAATTATCTTATTGACCGTTCATATGCTTTAAGATTAAGGAATTTTTTCTGTAAATGGGATATTTAAGTGCAAATAAGTCAAATTTGCATTATCCTACGTCATTAAATTTTGTTAAAACTTAAGGAAGGCTATAACGCTTTTAAAAATGTATTTCTTGGAAAGTAAATAAATATGCTTATTAATATTCTTCCTTTTAGAGCGTGCAACAGAACTGTGCGGAAAAGTTTTAATGCTGATAATATAAGCAGTTTTTTTAAATAGTTGGAAATTTTCTAGTTCCATTTCCTGTGATTATTACAAATATTGGGTTGTCCGGAAAATAATGCAGGATTTTAAGTTTTCATTAAAAAAAATCTATATAAAATATTCTGTTTACGTTTACAGGATTACTCATTTGTATGAATGTCAACACTTATTAATCCTCTTCCAAATGATATTGTTTGTTTACCTCTGTAGCATTCCGCTACTTGGAAATAATTCAGTCATCCTTATAATGTCAAAGCGAGAATTTCGTACGATTTTCTTTTACGAGTTTAAACTCGGCCGAAGCGGAGCCCAAACGGCTAGAAACATTAACCAAGTCTGGGGCGAGGGTTGTGTTAATGAGTGCACTGTGCAAAGGTGGTTTAAAAAATTTCGGGAAGGAGATTTCAGCCTTGAAGATGAAGAAGGTCGTGGAAGGCCTTCCTCTCTTAATGATGATGTTCTGCGATCAGTGGTGGAAGAAAACCCCAAAACAACTGTTCGAGAACTTGCAGAGCAACTCAAAGTCAGTAAAACGACCGTCGCTGACCACCTCAAGGCGATTGGAAAAGTGAAAAAACTCGAAAATTGGGTTCCACACTCATTAAACGATCGCCAAAAAATCAGCGCTTTGATGTTTGTGCATCACTTCTTTGTCGAAACAAAAATGACCCATTTCTGGCCAGAATTGTTACATGTGACGAAAAGTGGATTCTCTACGATAACACTAGACGTTCTGGACAGTGGCTTGACAAAGGAGAAGCTCCAAAGCCCCCAACTCATCAAAAAAAGGTAATGGTTACGGTATGGTGGGCTTCATTTGGTTTAATACACTACAGCTTCTTAAATCCTGGCGAAACCATCAATGCTGAATCATACTGTAACCAAATTAATACCATGCATCAGAAATTGGCAGTAATGAAGCCCTCTTTGGTCAATCGGAAAGGGCCCATTTTGTTGCATGACAACGCTCGACCACATGTGTCACGTGTAACGTCACAAAAATTATTGGAGCTTGGCTATGAAACTTTGCCTCACCCACCCTACTCTCCGGACCTCTCGCCTACTGACTACCATTTTTTTAGACACCTGGACCACTACTTACAACACATAATATTCAAAAATCAAACGGAACTGGAAAATGCATTTATTGACTTTATCAATTCTAAAAATTCTGAATTCTACTCAGACGGAATTAATAAGTTACCAACACGTTGGGAGAAATGTATTGAGAGTATGGGAAATTATTTTGATTAAAGAACATTGCTTTAAAGTAACTAGTTTCTTTTTTTTTGTTTAATACCAAAATCCTGCATTATTTTCCGGACAACCCAATAGATGCGTTTCAGGTAGATTGGTGTGGGCTAAAATAAAAAAAAAATATAGAAGGGATAATCACTGAATCAGTCTTACGTTCTCATAAAATTTTAAATGCGCGTTTGTTAATAACGTGAATTGTTTATATGTTGGACTTTTGTAATGAAATAACTATTTTTAAATTTTTATTCCGAGATATATATTGCTATATTATTGAGAGATTTTATTGGCGTGTAAGTGTTTAATAGTAGTTCAACGGTTTCAGAGAAGAGTCAATAACTTTTATGTGACTCAGAGTCTGAAGAATGCACAAATGAAATCAAACTTTTGCGGCGATTGAGTTATGCTAAACCTTCAACGTAGTTATGTCATTTCCCATACTTTCTTTTAATCAGTCCCTTGGCTCGCTCACGCCCTATTTCTGTGATAAACCTTCCGTTAAATCATGTTTCTTATCCTGACAACTCCGAGTCGATAAAAGGTAGTGGAGTCGAGCTTGCTTCGATGGGAAATGGGAAAAAGGAAATACAACTCGGGATTGAATTCCGCGATGTAGACTGTCATTCGCGGTGAGTACTCGTGTCAAATGAAATATAAATATGATGATTTAGTTTGTATGCCAACATTATTATTTAATTTGGTGTAAATTTGAAAGTAGTTAGTTAGTTGTATGGTCTACCGTTGGCACTCGTCGGTTCTGATCGCGGTTTAATAAAACATCACTGAAGATAAAATTGACAAACGTACCTGATGGAACGAACCAGGGAGCAACTATCAAATACGACAAATCTACAAAATCATTGTGAAATATTGAGCAATCTTGTGCGTTGAATTTTCAAAGCTCCAGGTCCGCACTTCTTCCCATTTTTGACATTTAGGCGCATATCGGCATAACGCCAACTTCGGTGTGTGTCTACGTGTTGTCTCTCGTAGGTCTCGGTCAAGGCCAAATGAGAACAAGATTTGACATTCCAGTCGGACTGAATTAAATTCCGGCACAACGAAGAAAAACGGCAGTTTTTAATTGTTTATGACAATCGTTTATTACTCTGTTTTCTTTTATTGATATTTATATAAATTATTTTATATTTATTTATTGTATTGCCTTAAAGTTTTATGCGTTGAACCATAATACTGCAAGATTTGTAGGATTAGACATCCCTTTGATGATATTGACGTAAACAGTAAAGACATTACGAAATGCATGTCTTTCTACACCAACTATACCCGTCCTGACCTTGCACCTTCAGACCATTTCCTCAGAACCAAAAAGATTTTTGTGGAAAGACTTCATAAACCAAGCACTTGTACTACAAGGGATGAATTTGAACATTTAACCTCGATATAACAACTCTGTGCTTTATTTCCTTGATTTAAAATATTTGGTTAATAATGAAATATTAAAGATGGTGAGAAGCCGAACGACCAAAACAGCGAGTAGGTAGACCAAAATGATCGAAAACAACGAAAACTACTGGTTGGTACCAAACCGCCTAGGAGAAAATCTTACAAAAGAATTTCGTGGTTTTTTTTAATGTTGCTACCTAGATGTTAGGTGCTCAATTCCCTCCCTTTAGTACACGTTTTTGGATTATGATAGAAGACTGTTTATGAAGTCTTTCCATAAAAAAAATCTTTTTGTACTGACCAGATGGTCTGAAGGTGCAAGGTCAGGACAGGAGTTTGGTATAGAAAGCTGGATACATTTCGTAATTTATTTGGATTTTAAAAAGTTGCCCTCATATATTTGAAAAGGTGTAGAGTCAAAACGTTTTTAGAACCTGCATCATTTGCTACAAACAATTTTGTTTTCCTTCGATGTGTATGAATATATTGTAAAATGGTATTTAATTTCTGTTACAGGAGAGTGGAGGAGTGTGGTAGTCGTGGTATGTTTGACGAGTGATCCCGCCGTATGCTATGGGATAGACGTACATCCGGGGGGGGCGGGGGCGGGGGTCGGGTAGAGGAGGATCATCAGAGGAGGGTTGCGGGGCCGGGGGCCGGGGGCGGTGGCCCGCCGACGGGGATCGCCGCCCCCACGAAAGGGACCTCGGCCCCCAACACGAGATCCTCCGGCTACCACCAGAAGGCTTTGGCCGAGATCAGGAATTCCCTTCTTCCTTTCGCGAACTGCGGTGAAGGGGGATCCAGCGCCGCTTCCTCCACCATTTCCTCCCTTTCGACCACCAGCGGCGTCTCCTCTGCCTCCGGGCTAAGCTCAACGTCAAACGGCCTCGACAAGGAGTCTTTGGCAAGGCAAGCCCATTCTCATCTCGTCGCTATGGGATATTCCGAGGTAAGTTCTCCAACAATTTTCCGAGTTAATATGTTTATTTCAGGAACTGGTGCTTACGCGTGAGTATAGAGTTAATAAAGATAGAAAGAGGGAAGAAAATTAAAGGAAGACAAAGAATTAAGAATGGGTGTGAGAAAAAAAGGAAGGATGAAATGGGCAGGGAGGAGAGTAAGTGATAGAAGAAAAATGTGCGTGCGCGTGTGAAAGAGAGGATTTTTTCATTTATATTCATGGTAATATTGGAGTACATATTGTAGAGACGACGTAGAGACCACGAAGAATGATCATCACCGATCATAATTATCATGTTTAGTTTTTTGGGAGAATAATAAAGCCAGTGCTTAAATTCGAGAATGATCGTTGAAGTTCCATATTCATAGTACGTGAAAAGTACAGTAAAAGTAGTTATTCTCCCAGCGAGAGATTCTCATATGGTCTCATGTTCTTTTTTTTGCTATCGGTATTCATTGAGACTTTTTCAACTGCCGGTGTCTTCAAATGACTTGATACTGTCAGAATAAAGGTTGTCGTAAATCCTGACGTGGATTGAATTCAAGTGCCTTGCTAATTCGCCAGCATTCCATCTGCTTCTACTCTCCAGACAGTTTATGTTGACGACCCACTGTGAGAAATGTGCACCGTTTGGACGATTTCATCGCTATATATTAAAACGCCGATAAGGAATTTTATCTTGGCATGTATATCAGGTCTATTGTCTCTTTTAGATAGTACGTTTTTAAAAGTACTGCCTTTTTTAGCTGATGTACGATCCTCGGTTCGAAACGATATTGTCACATTGTCATCAATAAAAATCCCTAACTGGTTTCAATAGTGCCGGCTCTTCCATAAAGGATTAATCCTCTCTCTTCGCAAAGCCACGCAGATGAGGCTTTTTGTGCGACGAGGGCTATTTAACGGAGGGAAAGAGCCGAGTGGTCATTCAGTGAAAGCTGTTGTTCACACGTTGTTTGAAAGTCGGACTTTGTCGAGAACGTGGAGTTATGAACAATGTGAGTTACAATGTAATTTACCCAGTGAAATTTGCCCCGTGAAAATATTCGTTCTCAGCCGAATAAAGGCATGCGACATGAAAGTATGCCGGTTTATGATTTCGAAAACAATTTTTTTTGTAAATAACCAAATGAAACCCACAAGATTCAATCATTTTATTATTGAACTACAATAGAAGTCATACTACCTGATAACACATAATTATGTGTTTAGTGTCTATTCAAGTAAACATTTTAAGCTAAATGTTGGATGTGAACAAAGAAATATCCTTTTTAACGCTGCTTCAGGTTGAGGTGCGGCAACGAATTCTCAGATTTCAGACAGGTACAGGCAGGCGTCCCACAAGTGAGCATTCTTGGTCCTATCCTTTTTATCATTTATACTGTTGACCTACCATCAGCGCGTATGTGACGGACAATTTTGTCTTCGGGTCCTATCCAACCTACGTCCAACATCCAAGAACACCTTGAGCATATCGAAGCCGGGTGCAAAACTGGGAGGACAAGAAAAATGTACTCAATGTATGTTCACATTGGAAAAAAAAAAAAAAAAAAAAAAAAAAACAGTCGCCCCCGCTGTATATCAACAACAAAGATTCCGACTTTCATTCAAATCAAGTACTTAGGACTGCACCTAGAAAGCAGTCTGACGTGGAATCCCCACACAAGACATAATAGACAACTTTACAAAATACTTGGACGACTACGAAGACTTCTAGGACAGAATTAGGTCTTAACTGTTCAAACTAAACCAACCTTATGCACATTACTACGACCAATTTTGGGCATACGATGTGGACTGTGAGGTTCTGCTAAGGCACCCAATCCTTTCAATCAATAGTTTTTCATTATCATTTTCATACATCATTTTGATGTCCTTTAAAAAAATATGTATATTAAACGAATATATCTTCGAATTGAAAAATTCTCAAATGTAGTGGCTTTAATCTTGCATTAACACTATATTTTTAAATTTACATTTTTGTAATGAGGTAATGTGAAGGCTGCTGCAATTTTTCACCATTGGACCACGTTTTCTCGCCAAATTGGACAAAGATTGTTTCATTCTGTTTAAATTCGCCGTTAGGTATTTTAGAACCAAGTTTCATATGACTTTGAAACTGTATTCTTGTACAAACTTTTCATCCAACGTCACTAACATTCTAAGAAACGGATCGTTATCTTCGCAATTCCTGCTTAACGAGTTTGGCACTCGAATATCTCGACTGGTAACGACCCAAGTTTTCCGCAACCGGGAGACTACGCTTCTGCGATAAGGGGAACATCTCCGCTACCTCTAGGACCGGTATGCAGAGGATTATTCTCGATTAAAGCTTGTAAGTTGGTCAACGGCCTTCTGATGCGTTCTTTATAGAATAAATTCTCCAAGCTCTGAATGCCAGCTCACTGGCAGCATTACCAACCAATACCTCCTTGATTTTTATAGCAATTGTCTAACATGTTTTACATAACTTTATGCGTGATCTTGCAAACAATCTGAAACGAAGGAGACATTCCAATGAAGCTTATGTCTAAATAGCTTAATGAAAACACGTAGATAAGAATAAGAAAACATTGATCATTGGATAAAAAAACAATCTATCACTATTTGATCTTATAACTCTATAGAGCCAAAACTAAAACAACAATCATTTTGGTTTTTTGTTGTTTATTGTGTCCTAACCAGTTTTTTTGTCCATAAATTTAAACTACTTTACATCCACACGTGTCATGAAATGTGCATTCTCCTAAATGCGTTTTGTCTGTCCAAAATGATTTTTCCGGTTTGTCAGACAAACTTTGCCATCTTCAGTTGTCAACAAATCTCCGTCATAAAAGTCTGCTGAACCGTAGATTTTTGTCATTCTGTTGCAAATAGTTTCCAATTTTTCAATTGCTTTATATGGTGAATTTTAGTGCAGTATGATACTATTTGTCTTTTCTAGTGCATGCCGGTGTCCTCACGCCCATTAGCCCCACGTGAACATTAGCTTATTATTTTTATCCAGGCATTTAGAATGAGTTAGGTACTACTAAACCAGCTAGGATGTAAAAGGTTCTGGTAGTACATCTTGGAATTTTTTGTTGATTCTTTTGTGTGACTGTCCGTGGCGTGCGCTTGACGTCGAACATATGTGCACACCCTACCAAAACGAGACATGGTGTCGGATCACGTCGCAATGCGTTGCGTCGGGTTGTGTTCCCCGATTTACCATCTCTTTTAAAATGTGTTTGTAAAATGAGTAAAACCCTTTGTCTGAGCCTTAGTCGGGTATTTTTCAACACCTGACGCTTGTATAATTCAGAATTTCGTTCCTAACGGAAAACCGATTAAATTGATAGTTTAGGAGAAATTAATGATCGCCTTCTTCTACTTTTGGGAACGTATTTTTTTAATGAGCGGCCGTGTTTAGGAATTGATCCCGAGGATCTTCGCATTCCTTTCTGAAGGGAGTCGATTCAAACATGACAAGGTCCTTGGCATACCTTTGACCCCATCGTATAATTAATCGTTTCGAAGGTATTTAAATCGATCAAGTTCACAGGGCAGTGGGGAAAAAGGGCTGTGTAGTGTCATCGATCCGTCTATGTAGATGTACGAACGGATAACGTTATCTCGAGCGTGCGGGGACGAGCCGTCAGAGTCGAAACGTCTTGAGAGACGTGACTAAAAAGGTAGAAGGCAACAAACAGACCCCCTGGGGGGAAAGGTGTCGAGTGTAATTCGATCAAGGCCGTCATTCGTCTCTTGGGTCCCCGGGGCCAGCTCTCTACCATTTAAGTGGGGGAATGGTGAAGAGGGAAAGGGGGGAATATAAATGTATTAACTGGAGAAGAAGGAGAGAGGAGAGAGAACACCGGTGGGTAATTCCAGTGGCAACCACTTGTACATTCCTCCAGTCCATCTACCTCCGCTCTTTACACATCCCCCCTACCTAAAGCGAAGGGGCTTCAACTTTGTGGAACGTCGACTTCTGCATCCCAGAGGAATCTCTACATGCAAATATTGCTATCTTAGATAAATTTTTCAAAGAACAATCTTAAGCGTGGAAAATATGTGAGCTCTTTCCGTCTCTGGGTTCTCCCGAGAAAGCAATGCTCATCTATTTTTTTAATGCATTCCATGGAATCAAGTGGAAATGAGTACGCTAAAGTATGCCCATATTGCAATTTACTCCATACAAAAATAATTTTTTAAAGAGCACAAATACCATTCGAATGGAGTAATCGTCACTAGTCACCATTATTGACAGACAAATGTTCATATGTTCAAACATTTCTGAGAGCCTCTGTAATAAGTATAACCTAAGTATGAGTAATGTACTAAGTATGCATGTAAGTATGAGTAATATACTCACTTTTTGACAGCTATTGTATGTTAGCTACATAGTTAGGTACATATCTATAGCACACCGACGAGTCCTAAGTTCATCAAAAAATTGGATTAATAAGCTCGGTTTCAGTGGCTGAATTTCTTCTACAGTTACGTTGTACACCAAAACACGGACTCAGTTCGATAGTAGGTGTGTTGTTCTTTCCTGCTTCTTTGCAGAATCTAAAACTGCGTTGGGTTATTCCACTCTTCTTCCTGGTACTGTCTAAGTTCGAAGTTTCTTCCCGTTTCCGTTTTTCTGTTGTTTCTTTCTTAACAAAATTTGCTAGAAGGTTTTTGGATTGTTTATTCCCAATGAGTGAATTTCAGTGTTTCCTCATTTTCAATTTGTCTTTTTGTTTAAAGGTGGCTCCAGACATGCGGTTTTCACTGAATGCCGATTGCCACTGAATGTTTGCCCAGATGGTCTTGGAATTCACGAAATAGTGTGCCCATGTATGATCGTATACTAGTTGTTGCGGAAACAGCGAATACGTATTTGCCAAGTGCCGTTTTTCTCCTCAACTTATTACCACTCGTGATGGTGGCTACAGTGAAACTTTTATTGAAACAGTTGCGGTTACTGTTTTGTGCAGTGGCTACAAACTAATTGAAAA